ATGTGTATACATAAAGATTTTGACAACAATGTAAGAGTCCATGTGATAGTTTGAAAAGGCATCTCTGCAGAGGGAACAAGTACCAGTAACCACAACAGTCTCTGGTTACACCAACAGGCTATAAAAAACATGACAGTAAAATAATCCCTTCAGTGCATGTGCAAGAGAGGTGGTGGAAAGAAAAATACACGACATACAGCATAACAACAGAGTTTGGCATTGCCATAAGAGCACTAGAAGACAGAGGAACAAGGGAAGCCAGATCTGTTTCTGTAGGTAGCAGAATAAGGTATTAGCCATTAATAACAATAAACAGACCATTTATGGGATGGTCATTTTTTAAATTTTTAGTTCAACTCCAGTTTTTGTCAAGGTATCTCAATGCATACTGAAACAGAAAAAAAAAAATATTTAACCATCATTCACCTAACTGCAGTTCCCAATTCCCCAACATAGGGCAGGCTTTCAATAGGGCAGAAATTCCTGCTCAATGAATATTTCATTAACCAAGTAGAGTGCAGCATTCAGGGACCACCAGAGAGTCCCAGATGTTGCATCCACATGTTTTAGTATAGCATGCCACGTGAGCAATAGTGCTAAACATTTCTATGGTCAATATTTTTAGTTCAACAAATGTTAAATTATACAATATAAAAGACTCACAATTAGTTTTTTGAGATTTCCAAACCATAACATTTCCAGGCCTGTTTCAGATGCAAATTGAACTTCTTTGTGGAAAACACTGTTATAATATGTATTTTTCATACCAGAATATTTTATATGTCTTTTATATGCCTAGCAATTTTCAGTTCACTTAATGGTGTTGTTGGACCTTATACATTCATGCATCGCGTCTGTGTCACCGTTGAAGTGGGTATTCCCCAGGACCAAAGGGGGATGACACGGCCTGTGGCTACCTTCTGTTGTAATGCACACTGGCTGACAAAAAATAAAATAAAAACAAAGGTTTGTCTAGAAGAGTCCCAGTAGACTGATGGGTCTCTCGACTAATGATTTGACTAGTCGACTTTCGGGGGAAGCCTTACTCAGACCCCTTCACTTTTTGCCCACTGTGTAGTGGTTTTAATTTTAAATAGATAAAAATTACATTTTGCTTATCAGTCCACAGTCAGTAACACATAATAACAAAATGAAAACTTGTTTCTAGAAAGTGAATCAGTGGATTGGCCCCAGTGATTTTGGTGCGGCCCTAATCTTCCCTGGAAATAAAAAATAAAATAAAATAAAAATAAATAAATTCATTTGTGCCCATAAAAATGTCAAAAATGACTGAGCAGATTGCCATGGATTTCACAAGGGTGTCCATGGTTCATAAAAAATTAATCCTTTCTACTTTGAAAAATTATGATGTAATCATAATCAGCAGTTGGCAAATGCAAATATAAATCTAATATTTTGTAATGTTATTAGTGTGAGAGCTGTGTCTGCCCTGCCTTACACACAGCAAGTTGAAATGCATCAAAGCCTGTGAGAAAATTAATGGTGGGGAGTTTCCATTGACATTCATCAATATCCTGTGGAATTACCTGTGCTGTCTGCACACATTTACAATGTATTTTGTCATCAGATTGCTGGCTGGCATCACAGATCACAGGGCAGCCTGCCAGATATTACTCTACAGGCATTTTATTCTGGTTTGTTTTGCAGGAGTCAGAGACAATCATTACACCGCTTATGGGGCAAGACACATGACAGCATCAGAGAAAAAGATTTCTTTAGTACTTTACCACTAATTCAGCAAATTATTTGCCCAGTTTATTTGGTGTGTGAATGGATATAACATCCATCCAATACAACAGTATTGCTAGAAGGGCAAGAAATATGTCACCATGTGTTTGGTGTGTTGTCAAGTGTTTCTTCAACCCTCCTTTGCAAATAAAGAACCTTTATAGCAAATGAAATATATTAGGCATTTGTAATGCAACTTGTTACTCACATGAAATCTATCAATGACTAATCACATTCTCAGTTTATCAGCATTGCCAGGATATGTTAATATTACACCATTCTTGTTTTAGATATTACTGTGAGTCTTAGGGGTGTGAGAGATCTTGTGCCACGAGATCTCATGATGTTAAAACATGGTGATATTTCTCTGTCTTGCGATATCAGTACATACTGTAACAGAGCCAGAGCAGCAGCCAGTATGACGGAGTGTTACTGTACGTTCACAATGGTCTGCCAATAAAGCAACTCCCTGCTGTGTTTAATGCATGGGGCTACGTTGGTCAGGGGGTGTGAGATTGCAGGGGGAGTGTTGTAGGAATGTACGATATGGTAACAAGTTGACATGAGTAGCTTCATTCACATTTCCATCCTGTACGTTTTCGTTGTGTTTTGGTTAGTGATGCTGCTAACGTAGCCTACTCTACCTTAGCACCAAGTCTAACACTAGTGTGTCGGCACTGATAGATAAAAAACACCATTTAACATCCAGTACTAATGAAAATGCATGGTGTGTTGTTACGGTGTGTTAATTGTGGCCCAACTTTGACAGTGAATAGCAGTGAATGCTCATGCTAACAAGGTAAACATAAGTATTCCTCCTGTGGGCATCCACGTCCCGATCATCTCCTGTACCTGTGATTGGTCAGTGCAGTGCCTTTGCCGGATGATGTCACTGTCCGGTGTGGTGCAGCGTGGGTGAAAATAGCATAGAAGGTCACACACATCCTCAGTTAGAAGTTAGAACCTCATGAATAGTTATAAGGTCTGAAGAGATTCATGTGAATCATACAGTCAGTTTGTGGCAAAACCTTTTACAGTGCTTTCATAATGTTGTCTTTCACTGCATATGGTAATTCACACTCAGCAAGTAGAACTAAAGTGACATTTATTACAAGATGATTAGTTAAAACATTTCAAAGTGCACCTGCTGTGTTTTGCATTTTTTGACTTTCAGTCAAATAAAATTATTTTTCTAGTCATATATTTCATTATTGAAGATTTCTTAATAATAATGTTAAAATATCATCTCGTCTCGTTCTTGTGAACCCAATATCACGAATCGTCTCGTCTCATGAGCTAAGTGTATCATCACACCCCTAATGAGTCCATCTTTTCTTTATTTTCAAGAAAACCTTTCACTACTGCACAACAAGCTCACATCACAACAAATGATAAAGACAAGTGCAAACAACATAAATGTAGTAGACGTTCACAGGTTTTAGATCTGTTAGAAGTGTAAACACAGACTGTTTAAGTGAGAAACACAAAGACTGCAAAGGTAGTGCTGCTACTATTTCCTGCCACTACATTAGAAAAGTGGTCAATCTTTTGTTTGGTCACAGCTTAGCTTTTCAGTCAATTCTATGTTTTCACTCTGCTGACTGAGTAAAGGAGACCTTGACATTTGTTCAGCTAAAGGTTTGAGGGAGAGGTGCTGAAAGTGAGTGAGAAAGAGAGAGAAATCAATGTTGATGCAGGCTCTTAGTGGCCAAGTGTTTATCAAGACCACTGACTGGTTCCTGTCACTGGCAAAAGGTAAACAGTTTGGTAACAAAAGGTCATTTAGATTCTGCTCATCCCAGTACCCGTCTTGAGACTATTCAGCTGGTTAATCAGACAGGATACCCAGAGCTTCTGTTTAATGCACTCCTTTACTACAATGCTGTCTTACAGCTACGCTGATTATTAGGGTGTCACTTATCTCCATTCACCAGGGGCTATATAGTAAACAGTGGAGACCAAAGACCAAAAATGGCACAAGAACAATTAGCAGAACATCCCAGAAGGTGCACTGAAGCCTCACAAAGATTTGAAATCAATGCTGAGAACAGACTTGTTCAACATAAAGTACCATGACCAACTTCAGTCTCCGGTGGACTGGCTTATGGCTTAGTTTGTGCAGTTTTTGTAAACCTTTCGTGTTGTTATCTGCTGATAACACTAAAGTTACAACAGAATAAACCTTCTTAAAGCCCAATTCACAAAGGTTACTGTTCATAATATAACAGCAATATAATGTAATGACTATTCAACAGATGTAATAAGACTGGTAGTCCATTAATAAATGATATATATATAATGTATTCATAAAACACCAAATTTCTAGAATAAAACTAGGTATGAAATGCTAAATATATTGAAAGTATTTTGAAGTTTGAAGAATTCCCTGTTACCAGTGATTCTGGTAAACAAATTTATTTCTAGACAAAACAGTCAAATGTTTGGGCAGATTCTCATTCAGTTGTTCTTCTTTATTATTTTTACATTGTAGATTAATAATGATTACAGCAGATTGTACTCCCTCCGTGTACCTGCTTGTCACAGCCGCATGGCCAGGTCACCATTATTTGTCTGTTTTATGTTTTTGTAAAATTTCAGTAGCATTCTGAATGGCGGCATTCTGCACAAAACATGCTAAAAAGGTGGTACATTAATATTATATTTATGCTGTATTGTTGTCAGTCTGTTCCAGTTTTTACATTGCAAGACAAAAGGTATTTAGAATGAGGACTAACTGATGTATTTGATGAAGGTCACACTGTCTTAGCATTGGTCTTAGCTGTAGTTGACCCCAAAATCTAAATCAAGAAAAAGCCATGAAAAGCTAACATTACCCAAAACTCTGTCATAGTAGCATTTATGAGCAACAGCAGGGAAATGTGTTGCTTTGTTGCAATATAAAGTTAATGTTGCTTAAAATGCTCCTTGGCCTTAGACACTGTGTAAAACTCTAGGTAAGAAGCAATAGTTAGCCATGCTAATGTTTGCAAACAAACATATCCATCAACTGTTTTTTAAATATTTTTAGGTTTGCAAGTGTTGCAAAAAATGGTTTTTATTGCTAAACCCTCTCCCCAAGCAGTGATTGAGCAATCATAGCTTAGGGGTCAACTACATATCACTATTCTGATACTTACTGTAATATATTAAATATCTCTTCATACTGCACATCACACTTTCCACCTCCTCAGTTTTGACCACCCCCATTTTCACGTCTTTATCAAAGAAAAACATTGCACACAAATTTAGATTTTATCACTCTTTATTGAGCAGCACCCATCAAAAAATATGAACATTTCTTAATCTTTGCTATCAGCTCATGTACATTAACTTACACAAGAGCTTGACAGCACATAGAAAACAGTTTGTGTGTTAAAAGTGAATTACAAAAAAAAAAAATTGCACACACTGTGATTGTATGTAGTAGCCAAAAGCACCACACCACTCATAGCTTAGTTTCATTGACAATAGAGCACTGAAGCACTGCTTTCAGAAACTTCAGTTATTTTTGTGTTGCAAGAAGGAAAAAGTGACAAATTGGTTATAAAAAACTTAACAAGATGCCAACAAGCGCATGGCAAACGATATATACAGAACAAACTTGCCCGTCTTACAGATTTTGTTGCCCTTAAACTTTGTAAAAGAATTTGACTTTGGTTGTTAATAAGCTACACTTTTCGAGATGATGCGACTTACTCCAAGACGTTTAAACAGTGAATTTTGTGCTACCAAATAGTTTGAGTAGTGTGTAAATTATGAGTTGAGGTTACCTTTCCACATCTTACTGACTGTGTGGCCTTGGACAAGGTGCTGAAATGTGCTGCTAGTTTCAAGGATGTTCACAGATCACCTGTGCCTAGCCTAAGACCTCCGTCCATTTTAAATACTGTTACCACCTCTACTTTGGGTTAGACTACATCCAGTACAGCTGAGGAGTTCAGTGACACAGCTATATGTACATTTCTTGCAAACTTGGTTAACAGAGGTATTGATTTTTAGGAGTTTTTCCCTATACCTTATCAATGGTATTCACTGAAATTTAAATCTGATTTGCATGTTAATTTGCATGTTACACCGTAACAGTGCAATACAAAGGTAAAATCATGACCAAACACAATAGCTTTAGATGGTAATGCACCCAGAAGGAAGAACACTACATCTGTATCAAATTTGAACCCTTCTTAACCTTCTCCATCTTAAAAACCAAACCCTGTTTTTTACTTTTAGCTGCTGAGAGGTCCTCCATTGCTGGCTTTTTGAAATGACTGCTTGCAGTTTGAAAAACAGACCATACAGACCATATTTTGACAACATGTTGCAGAGAAGCTGAAATAACAACAGAGGCACCGTAGGTAGCAGACTGTCATGCAGGGGGTCGGTATAGCAGAGAGACATCATGACCAATCCCCTTTATCAGACAGTGTGTAAATTCTTATTTAATGCACCCCCTTTCTTAGGGAAAAAACTAACAGCAAAAAAAAACAACAACCCTAAAATAAATAAAACACTTAAATACCCCTGGCATGTACAACAAACTTATCAAGGCAGTTAATTAAACAACAACTACATTTCAAAGACGAGTGATGAATGATATTAGATTATTGGCCCAGAATAAAAAATACCGGTACACTGTCATTATTCTGCCTATGCTCTTGTCTTTTTTCAACTTTCGGTACTCTAGAAAAGACTAAAATTCCTGTTGTAATAGCTTGTTCTTCAGCCCCACAGTAAGCACCGTCAGTAAACTATACATACAAAAATATATCTTATCCCTCTTCTTGCACACCAAGCACCTTTCCAAACACTAGATGCTGCACAAAATAAATGTTGCTTACAGTTTCTCTTTTATTATCACAGTATGACAGTGCTTTCTCCAAAAAGTGTGACATTCTTCAAATGCTCATTCTTAGCAGGACAGGTGTATACGTTTTCTCTGCAGAAAAACAGACTCCCATCTTCTGCAAGTTTACTGCCTCTGATTTCTGCTCATATTGTCCCGAGGCTATTCATGATTTCTATTTGTAATTGGTCCATCCACTCTACTATCCAGGGCAGAGCTGATGCAACAGTCATGTTACAGTAAATTCACTTGGTCTCCAAGCCCAAGTAAACCACGTCTTTTTATTATTAATGGGGTTTTTTTAAGCTGGGAATTTCATGATTGTAGCCATTTGTCAGCCATTAAAGTGGGCCACTAGTGATACTACGACTGGCTTGTTGATGTCTGAAGAAGGGGCTTTGGTGATATTAATGGTGGGTTCAACAGAGGGGCCCAGTTGGGGCAGTGCGGCATCTGGTCGTCCAAGAGAGGCTACCATAAATAGGAAGTCCTTGGAACAGCGGGGAGCAGTGACTGCTACACCTCTCAGTGCTTTGGTGGGTACCTTGGAGGAGCTCTTTAAAGTGGAGCCTTGTCGAGGAGCCTCACAATGCAGCAGGGTATGGAAACATCTGTAAAACTGGGCAAGCATACAAAACAAATGTGATCAGAAATGTACTGTACTGCAAAATTAGAGAGAACAGAGGATGAAAGTTTAATGGCTGAAAACACCCATAACTAACCATCTTTTGCCTAAACATGACTTTAATTCAATACACTGAGTCAAATTATTTGTAAAGTTTCTAAGTTATATAAAATATTCAACTAATAATTTCCAATCATAAGTGCAAACCGTTACTAAAATTTCAATTGGATGTGTGATTTTTTGCTAATGTATGCTTATGTGTGAGACAAAGTGACTGGCCATGGTCATCTAATCACCCAGACATTTTCATTGTGCTCAATAATCTTAATTGTGACCGTTTATTGTGTTTTTTATGTTTGTTTTTCTCACTTCTGCACCTGCATTTGTAAGATTTTTTTCAAAATATGAATGAATCAAAAGAAATGAGATTTTAAAAAGTTTTCATAGTGCAGTTTTATGTCAACAGGGTTTTTTGTAAGTCTAGTTTAATGTAAATAGGCTGGTGAACAACGAGGACAAAGAAAACTTTCAAAAATGTTGGAAAATAAAATCTTAGAAATTCCTTGTTAGCTGCCTTTTCTCTGTGTGTTTTTAACCTTGATTTAACCAGGGAAGTCTTGCTTCCCCTGTGCAATCTGCTGGCCCTGAGCTGCCCCCGTACTGGGCTTCCCTCAGTACTGTAAGATTTTGCCATCTAACTCAACTGTGCTGAAGACTGCACTCGAATTTACATATTGGCAATGTTCAAGCAGGATGACATGCAATGTGTTTGTCAGCTAAGCCATCAAAACTAAACCTTACACCCTCTTTGCCGAGAGGCTTTATTTACCCACTTTGTTTCAACCATACAAATACAACTTTAACTACAGGTCTCATAAACTACTTTGCTCTGTCCACACAAAACAACACCCACCACTATCAGCTGGTGGGTGAAGAGAAGGGCTATATGCAGACAGAGATGCCTGTTGCCTCCCTCCTTCCTGTGCTGTTGTCTACATGATAAACCCCAGGGTAGTCTTAAAATGACAGGCTGGATATTGACAGTGAGATGCTCTCCACCAGTGAAACAGGAGCTCTTATGCCTTCTTTTCACAATAATTTCCTATCCTTTAATGGGGAGATGACAGTAACAGCAGCCAATAGCCAACAGTGTCTCTATGGCTCTTCACAGTGTTATGAAGCAGCTATGCATGGCTACACATAACAAGCCTTTGGAGATGAGACAATAAGACTCTGTTAATTGTCCCTCCTTGACTGTATTACTCGAGAGGCTCAAAATGTAGAGAAGAAGAGGCCCAGTCTGATGCTCTGGAGTTGCACTGTAACAGCCTTATGAAATAGGAAGTATAGATAGAGATATTTGCTGTAGTTCATCAGCCAATCAAAATGGCCTACTAGTCGGCTACTGCATTTAAGTTTCTGGTGAGACAAGATGGGCTGAGAACTGCACTGCAGATAAAGGCAGAGGTAATCTACCATTGTCTAAAGCTGCAGAAAAGCAGGGATTTTAGGCCTAGGCAAACATCCACTGTATCCAAGCTCAAAACAGTGTCCCCTGAGATACTGCTTTCTTGTTAGGAGTCAACATGCTAGCACAGAAAAATTGGTCAGTTTGTCTACTAACTTGTGGCCATTGTTGTAGCTCCTTGATCCTGTAGTTCTGGGCAACTGCACATCATCCACTCGCATCCTGAATACAGGAGCACCACAGGGCTGCATCCTCAGCCCAGCCCTCTTCACCCTGTTCACCCATGACTGCACCCCCACCCGTTCCTTCAACGCTATAATGAAGTTTGCTGATGACACCACTATAGTTGTACTGATATCAGGGAATGATGAGACACAATACAGAAAGGAGGTCCAACACCTCGTTGAGTGGTGCTCACACAGTGACTTGGTCCTGAACACCACAAAAACAAAGGAGATTGTTGTGGACTATAGGACCAGGAAGATATCACCTTCCCCCTTTACATTAATGGTGAGAAAGTTGAAAGGGTCAACGACACAAAATTCTAGGGTCTGCAGATCACAAAAGATCTGACGTGTACTGTTAGCACCTCCTACTTGGTGAAGAAAGCTCAGCAGAGGCTCTTCTTCTTGAAGCTTAAAAAAGCCCCCTCTCAGCTGCTAGTGAACTTCTACAGAAGCACAATAGAGAGCATTCTCTGTCACTGTGTTACAGTCTGGTACACCAGCTGCACTACAGAGAACCGGAGAGACCTGGCCCAGATAGCCAAGGCTGCACAGAGAATTGTAGGGGCCCAGCTCCCCAATTTGGATACAGTTTATGCTAACTGCTTACACAAGATGGCTAGCAGCATGATTAAGGACTCAACCCATCCAGGTTACAGACTGTTTGTCCCGCTGCCCTTGGGCAAAAGATACAAGACAGTGAAGACACACACACTAACAGGGTAAGGAACAGCTTCTTCCCCAGAGCTGTAGTCTGTGTTACACCCCTCCCTCATGCCCTTACATACTCAATTCCACACACCCACAGCTGCAAAAGACTGAAAACTGTAATAACCAACCTGTTTCCCACCCCACCACCACCCCATTTCCCCCCAAGTTGCTGCTAATGCACTTAGCACCTTACATCCTACTGACATTAACAAGTACTTTGCATTTGCACTGTACTGCACCATTTCGCATCACTGTACACATATGCCATTGTATATATTTGTTGTTGGGTTTATTGTTGTTGCTTATATTTATATTGTAACTATCTTGTTTTATTTTCATTCTTCTATCACTGCTGGTCACTGAGAGCTGCCAAACAAATTTCATTGTACAATGACAATAAAGTCTCTAATGGGAACTCTGAAGATGCCTCTCTTGAGTAAACGTAGTATACTTAGTATACTTTCTGAGTTTTATGTATACTTATAGTCTACTACATTTTCTCATGAGGTGCAAAATATGATTCTGCACAGAACACAACATGTGGCTTAAGTGGAGGCCTCACCAAAGTCAAACACACACAGCGAGGGCATTTATCAACAATATATTTTCATTGCAACTGAGAAAGAGAGAAAAAAACAATACATGTTAGATTCATATATAGATTTGATGAAGAGGCCTAAGATGAAGATGGTCAGCAAATATTTTGACAATAAAAAACTATGTTATGTTGTTACGGGTTTGTGGCAGTTCTAAAAAGTTGCTCAAGTCCAATTTTACTGGCTACACTTGCATAGAGTATACAGTATGTACAGTATATCAGCCCATGCACAGCAAATAACACCTGTACATGCACTTGAACTGCGATGTTCAGTAGGATTTATTTAACAGCCGATAAATAAATGTTTTAGCAGTTTTTGCTTAATGACTTTCATAGTTTTTGTTCTTTTTGTAGCTAATGAGCTTTCATTGTTTTGGTGGATTCTGAGGAGTGCTTTACATGCATAGCTCCAAAAAAATTGCCATGAAGCTAAAAATAGACTTCAGGTGGCAGGTAAGGGGCATAAAGCACCAGTGGTCATGGGCACTGGAGTTTATTTTGAGTTGATTCCACACATACCTTCCTGCTCCTGTCAATAGTCACTAGTGCACCAAACCCACAGCTGAAAATAGCCGCCAAGAAATGCACTGTTTTCTCTGTTTGAGTAATAGGAGAATTTCATAGTTATTTGGCTCAACAGTGAACTTCTCCTTCATGTTGTTGTCTGTCAAATGATTGCAGGGTATGAAGAGATGCAGGGAGAAAGAAATACCTCAAGACATAATCAAAAATTCTGCTCAAGGTCTATGAGCAATTCACTTGCCCTTTTTTTCCAGCCTCTGTAACCTACAGGTCATCTAGGAGTGAAGGCTAGCATGGAGATGTAAAGAAGCAACGTGATCAACATATCTCTGTGGTTTTGGTGCACGCTTTCTGCTGCCCTCACCTGCCCAAACAACACACTGAAGACCATCGGAAAGATGAAATAATGGGAGATGGAGACAGCAGGCAAATGCTGAAGTTAGTTAAGATGCAGGCAACAGGGAGATGGACGGAGTAGGTTGCACTGACAGTGTTTTAGAAAAAGGGTTGACGGTTACTCAGAAAGGGTCATCTCATACTGGTCAAATCAGGTTTGGGTGACGCCCTCTGTGATCTGAGCTGATGTACAGGTTGGGGAGGACTACAACAGGGTCAAATGTCAAGTATCATCACAGATAAGGCCTTCACCTATTGTTTAAGGTAGGGGGTGTGTACTGAGATCCAGGGCTTTTCTGTTTGTACGTGACTGCACACAAAGAGACTTTCATTAGCAGTTGACCCTAATTTTGCATCAGTTTCGTTTGTTGTACAGAAGTCCAGTGTAATCCAAAAATCCAGAGTGCCGGATGCAAAAAGTGACAAGATCCTACTCCTTTAATCGAATTCTTTGTGTTCACACCACAGCCTGAGAAGTGTTCAGTTGCCGACAGTCAATCACTTCAGTACATTATACTTAATGCAGTTTAAGGGATCTAAATGAAGTGAGGCAATGACAGAAGCATAAGCTTCTTTTCTTGGCACCAGCAGATAACCCACTATTTCATTTGCCAATTACATGACTTAAGATGATCTAATAAACTCCCCAGAGTTGTAAAGTTTCCTGCAGACCATATAATGTATTACAAAATACACCTGAGAGCCCTAACCAGAAAAATGAGTGTGTGAATAGAATGACAATCATCTAGTTTCCTCTCAGGATTTCCTGGCACATTCTCAATTCAGCAGAGGGCTGCACAATGTTTGTTGTGTGTATCAATCAATCAATCGGTCGCTGGAATGTTTTGCATTTCCTGCAGCGTCTCATTCCCGTGATGGAGCCAGCCATTTACATGATGCTTACTAACTGATCACTTATTTGCCTTAAAGATCGTTTATCCAAAACGCTATTTAAACTGGCTAATCTGATATTATTAGATTAGTAAATCCCTGGAACCCAAACTATAAGCAAAACTTTGGTTCTTGACAATTCACTATAGTGTTGATGGTTATGATTTCCTATCTTTTGATCTTTTTCAGATACACCATGCTTACATGCAGCTAAGCAGTTTTCATTGTCAAGGTGTCCAAAAATGATTGTCATTTTTGCATGTCAAAGGCTTACAGCACTGTTGGCTTCTCTTTTTCACAGTTCATTTTATTACATAAAAAATGTAATACCACAAGCCAAACCTGACTTTTAGTTTTAATACCTCTGTACCTGATGCAAAGCAGTTTGTGGTTTAAATGTTGTTCTGCTTCAAGGGTATAACAGTTTAAAAGGAGCAACAAACAGTGCTGCTTGGTGCTTGTCAAGATAGATATGAAGCAATAAGACAATAACATTTTGGCCAAATGATACTGGAATTGCTCAAACAAAAGGTTGTGCTCTTACAATCACCGGTTCAGTTGTTCACTCATTCAAGACATTTCTTTTAATACATTATTATGTGTAATGCCAAAGGGGTAAATTAAAGTGTGATGCTATTTTAAAATTTCCAATTAAAAAGATGATCATATAAAGATAACATAAAGCACTACAACTATGAGGTAAGTCAGCCTAAAGGCTCCTAAAATCATGTCACAAATGCATTTCCCATTTAGGTCAAACTGGAATTGAAGTTCTGAAAACTAGTTTATAAATTGCAGTGAAACGCATTTCAGCTGTCATGTGTTTAGCTTGAAAACAATCAATTATAATTAACATAAAGTGGAAAAAATAGTTGATCACCCATTAAAAGTGTTCAGTGTTCACTAGTGAAATAGATCTGACCTCCCTCTAACTGACAATACCTGCATCATTAACTGTAGGATAGCAATATACTCTGCCTGCCAATACAAATGGTTTAAAGCTTGCTATTTTACAGCCATCACAGCAGCACAGACTGGGGCTGCAGTAGATGAGCATCCCGTGCTGTCTTGTTGATGAGCCGAGAGTCCCACCGGTTTGCTCAAATTTCTCTTAATTATTTTAGCAGGGTCAAGGTCACTGACTGCAATTTATTTATTTATTTGAGCACAGGAAATTACTGAAGAATTAAAAGGGGAAAAACTGGCTCCTACACAACAACCCTTGAACTCTGTAGAGAGAGAGAGCTTGCTACTGTAAAGAGGCCGCTTTTCAGCCTTGAACAAGAAACTCTAGTTACCAAATAGCAGAATGAACCTGAGTGAAGTGCATATGTCAGAAAGAAGCAAGAATGCACATAAGATTTTTTCAAACCAATTATTTAACTGGTGGTGGAATAGATCACTCAAAATTACAAGCCTTGTCAGTCTTGACAAATCAGTTCACAGCAGTACAATGGGAAGATGCTGAAATGGTGCCACCTAAGAGTTTGATTGACATGTATTTTGAGTCTGTTCCTCTTGACAGTGAGTAATTAAGGAGTCTTTTGGAATGATGCGTCTTCAGTATGTTAATATAATTTGGTCTTTTGAAGCACTGCTGGTTCACTCGTGTTGTCATGCAGCTTTGCATTCACTTTGTAGCACACTAAGGTTTGTGTGGAACTAAGAACCATGAGCTGTAGCTGTAAGCATTGGAGAAGTTGCAAATGAACACAAAGTTTGAAGCAGTGTCTTCTCTGTCCTGTGTCTGTCCCTTAAGTTTCCACTTTTGCAACAGCTTTCATGGTAAACCTCGTGTATTCTCAGCAGACATATACTTTACAGTAATACTAAACACCATGCACTGATATGTGAGAAAAAGAAGAAAGCACAATGCAGACTTACCCATAATTCCTGGGCTTTTCGATTCAGATTCATGACACCCACCCCAGGCCTCTCTGCTGATCGTTGATGGGACAAACACACTCCAGCTGCTACTTGTATCTGTACAGCATTTTTAGTCTTCAACTCGCCTCAACTCACAGTTTCCTTAGTAACGGGCTGGGAGGAATTGAAGACTGAAAATGACATACAGGACATTTGGTGTCCCCCTCTCTCCCGCTTTCGTTCTGTCTCACGCTGTCATGGGGTCGTTGATGTGTGGGCTAAAACATCCCTGTATCCCTGTAAGGTCAGTTACCTATAGATGCGCTGGTGGCTTGAGTAAGAAGGCAATGGGAAGTGGAATGGACAGGAGGGGAATGGAGGCTCTGGTACCTCCAGATGACATGGGTACATCTGAAGCAGGATGTTGTTTTGTGTTGATATCCAGCTTTACAATAACCTGACAGTACAGTAACAGCATCAGCAAAGTTTGAACTTCAAAGCATAGTATCACACCTGAATGGCTTTAGAAACCATGATAACATTTCCTCTCCAGTGTACACTACTGTATAAAATTATCTGTAGAGTACAGGAAATCCTTCTGCCTGAGACTAAAGGGAATGTTTTCTAAAACCTTACATGGAATTTTCTATTTTCACTTCACACCAGAATAAAACGATAAGGATTACATTGAGGTTCATTAGTCTGCCCCAGTGGAACTGGAGAATAATCTTGGTAATCTTATTTTTTTTCTCACCATGATGAACTGTGATTCAGAAAGGAACAGAACTTTAAAGTGTAAATGTATTGTTTTGTCCTCTTACTTAGGAGGAGAACCTAATAAAGAGTAAGTGTAAGAAACAAAGTTAAGTATAATTTTGAAGAGTTAACTTTTGGACCATTACACATCCAATATATAAACCCTGAATCTAAGTAACTGGCGTTAATGTCTTAAAGATAAGGCAGGCAGTCTCTGGAAGTAATATCTGTTAACCAGGGTTAGCTGCAGTACTTTGCTTTGGATTTATGTTATTAATCATTTTAGAATAAATCTCAGGTTCTGGCGGCACAGTGGCGCTGTTGCCTCACAGCAAGATTCCAGATTCTAGCCCGGGCTGACCCAGTGCCTTTCTGTGTGGAGGTTGCATGTTCTCCCTGTGCCTGCATGGGTTCTCTCTGGGTGCTCCGGTTTCCTCCCACAGTCCAAAGACATGCAGCTTAGGTTGATTGGTGACTTTAAATTGCCCGTAGGTGTGAGTGTTAGTGGTTGTTACATGTCAGCCCTGTGACAGACTGGCGACCTGTCAGAGGTGCACCCCGCCTCTCATCCAATGTCAGCTGGGATTGTCTTGTCTCTCTGGCCATTCAGCCAGAGAAACACTGCCGGGAGTAACATGCCAATTGTCTGTTTTACAAGGGGTTATGAACCAGACTGTTTGTTTTGGGAGCAGTAACTTCCTGGAATCTCCATTGGATGCTATGCTAACCAGCTGCTGACTGTAGTCTCACTGTATATTTAGCAGATATTGATCTTCTCATTGAACTGTTAGATGGTAGATAAGCACATTTTCCTAAATGTCAAACTGTTCTTTTAATACCATAAATACTTGATTTGAGTGAATGTTAACCAAGCAGAATAGATTGTTCTGTTTGAAGTTCACCAGCCACACTGTCAATAGTAGTACTTTATCAATAAGAAACTTATCATTGATCCAGTTATAATTCATTTTCAAAAACAAAACAAATCATTAGTTCCAGGCCACTAATAACAGCTCAAAGATAGGAGCTCTCAATGAAAGATAACCACTCCCAAAATGTGCTCATCACACTGTCTAAAAATGGGCACGGGCCATTGTTAAGTGACCTACTGTTAGTGTACTTATCAACACTTCAGTCACTTCATGACTTGAAAAATACTCCTTCTTGCTTGACAAACAGTCCAGCAGAAATTGGTTAGAATCTCATAAAAGTCTTGGGTTAATCAATTAAAAAATATTTATTGGATTTGTTCAGCATGACCTGAGATATACCAAAATGCAAACTTGGACCAGGTAGAGTAGATGAAGACCAAGGCAGTGACTTAGTGAATGGTTGGCATTAGCTGGCTGATTATTGGACACTTAGAAATGTTATGAAGGCAGAAATCCCATCATACACGTCTATGAGCTTTTCAGTGTGAAACTACATTATGTAGCTTGAGTGCTTTACCTCAAGGATGTAACAAATACTGTAGGAACATTCAAATGTGAAAAACCACCAGTCACACGCTAAAACCTAGATTATTAACTGTCAACAAGGCACTGAAATACTATCTGATAGGAATATAAAACAAAGACTCATTACCTTTAGAGCATCCTAAAAACAATCAAGATGACTGGGCTCAGTAGGCGAGATGACCTCTGCCTGCTGTTTCGTGACAGTGAAAGATAAAAGGCACTGACCTGAGCTATAGCCCACTCTCCTTTCCTTCCTCCCTCACCTGCTTATTCATGAAGACATAAATCACTGGGTTGATAACTGTGCTCGTCTTGGCCAAGACTGAGGGGATGATGCTCGCCTCAGGTGTAACTAGGCCTGGCGGCCCAAAGGTGGCCAGCAGGGCCATGATCCCGTATGGCAGCCAGCACAAGAGGTAGCAGATCACCATAATTACCACCATGAATAACACGCGCTGTTCACATTTCCTGCTCTTCGAAGCACTGATCCCGCTCATCTGGAGATAGCAAGAGAAACAAAAAGGAAGAAAAGAAATAAGACCTTAATGAGCTAGCCGTCTCCTGTGATGAGACAATCTGTTGAGATATACTGGCTTGTATCTTGCTTGTATCTTAATTTTCTCCTATGAGAGCAAGCTGTTAGGTGAGGAGAGGAAATAAAGTGCAAATGTGACAGAGTAAAGTGCAGGTCAGGTTCAGAGAGGTGGAGAACAAAAGTGGCAGCAGGGAAACTTGACTCAGCTGCAACAGAAGTCCAATTTGATTAGACAGAGGTAACAAGAACAAAACGCCAGAGTGGGCTTTGGTATCATTTATCAGTGGATTTCCTGGAAGCCTTGCTGTCAAACAAATATTAAGTGTTGCAAACCTACAGTTGTTTTCAGACATAAACACAAGCTTGTCAAACATTGAAGGACAATTCTGGTTAATTACAACTTGGAACTTATTTATGTAGTTTTGGACAAGATAATGCTAAAGTTACAGCAATAGGTTGACAACATACACTAATTTGCATCAGTGTGGAGAATAAGATAAGGTTAATTCTATTTAACCTTAACCTTAAATACAAGTAGCTGGGGGCCACGGCTGTATGGTTGAAAGTTAAAGGTAAATGTAAAGGTAATTTCTTTAACGGGGGTTTATGTTTTGCACTATTTCTTGGTCAGTAGCTGTGACTTCTTATGGTGTGGACAGTAAGTTTATTACCCAAACTGCTGTCAACATCCATCACTCTTATGAATCAGGCTCAGGATGAACCCAGAATGCAGACCAGGACTAGGAGGAAGCTTAGAGAGTGTTTATTATGAAATAATAAGGATACCAAAAAACTAAGGTGGAGCTGTAGTGCCGGGGGTACTCAGGCAGGCAGGAGTGGCACCAGGGTAGTTAGGAGCCAGGAGCATACAGGTAGGTTGTGCCAGGCAGAGAAATGGCTGGTGTTGGTCAGTGTGGCTGTAGCACCAGGGTCAACAGGGGAATCGAGCAGGCCGGAAAATGGTCAGTATGGCTGGACCTTCAAGAACAAACAGGTAAGTTGAGCTTGACAGGAGTAGTGACAGCGTCACTGGGCAGTCAGGAACTCACAGGTAAGGGGACAGAGTCAGGAGAGTCGACAGCACATGGGCGTCATCAGGAACACGGCAGGCAGGAACGAGGAACACAGGTGAGTGGCAGATACAGAGCTCAGGGAGACTCAAACAGTGTACTGGCATCGACAGGAGCAAAAACATAGGCAGAGTAACATTAATGGACTGGCAAGAGACTGAGGGAAAGGAGGAGGTAAATATGGGCAGGAGATAATGGGCAGCAGGTAAAATCAATGAACAGTGATTTTGTACTGGGGTAGAGCTGGGCCAGGTGAGGTGACGCAGGGCAGGAAGTAACCAAAATAAAAGCTCTCAGAACAGGAAACAAAGCTGAACCATAACAATCACAGTTTACAGACAGACTTCAGGTTCAACTTTAACCTGCTGTACTACTTTTGTGTCAGAGTTTATGTCTGTGTTGATATCAGCATTTTATGGCTAAATTATCAGCTTGTGTACAAACGGTGTGATTGTTTGACCACTAGTGTTTCATGCCCTCATCGTTGTGTAGCATTGGTTCAGTGTTCTTAGATTTCAGCAAACTGAATAAAATGTTAGTATAACCGACAGAGGTGATGGACAACGTAACAATTCGACTCAAGTTGTAATACATTGGAAGTTTTCAATAACTAAATCATAAAAAAGTCATTGAAAGATACATGAATGTAATTACTCTTAAATCTGATTATGCTCTGACAATTACACACGTGAATATGCACAGCAAAAGGCTAGACAGTCTTGTACACTGACAGACCGGCTCTCCACCAACTTGGGCTTTCTCCACTTCTTTCTCTGCCTGATGGCCGCATGTCAGTTGCTGTCATTCTGTTTTCATCACCATGAAAACTCACAGGGACCTTGCTTAAAAAGAGCTCCAGCAGCAGCAGGCTTTCTTGTTCTTTTTTTCTTCTGTTTTTTGCTAAAGGGGAGTAAGGTGACGGTACTGTATAGTGCTCATAGTTGCACACAAACATTACACTCAGAGCAAAATCCAGATCAACTTGTACTCAAGATCAGTCTTGGTCTATGAGATGAGACCACATTTTTACTTGGACTTCTCTCTGGTTTGGACAGAGTGGACTCAGGATTTTATTTTGAGACCAGTCAAGACCACAACTGTGGGGAAAGTGCTTGTGAATTCTGTTTTATTTGTTACCATCATTACCAAGGTTTTCCCTACCATGTCAACATTTGGACACAGCGAGTGCCTTAAGCAGAATGAATGTAAAAAAATGTGATACATCAGAACAAAGAGAGTTCTGTGCTA